ATTGAGTCTTATTGGAGTTTGAGTGTCTGTCATCTGCTTTGCCGGACTTCCTGTTTGCTCTCCTCATCCTCAGTATCAGTCATTAGCAGACGTCTGTTTTCTCTGAACAGCCCGGTTTTATTTTCTCTTCCGTTATGAAAGAGTTTTCAGACAGAAGCGAGGCTCGCGGCAGGACTGGGATTTTCGGCTCATTAACATGTAATCTCGGCTCCTGAGGCCTGGAACGCGTTTGTTTCATTTCCTGCTTCTGGTTTAATTGGAGCATTTCTGTTGTGTTGCAGCATAAAGCCGGCGGTCTCAGAGTGCATTACTGCACTGCACTGCGCTGCGCGTGAATACTAACACACATGATTCGCATGAATGGATGTGTTCAGTGTAGAGAGTGTGCTGCATCTTTAATTATCTCTTCTCATTAAACGTCTGATTAAATTAATCAAACATCATCATAATGGATTTCTATACTTAAGGTAGAATGATAACTCTCTAGTTAGAGAATACTCATTATCTGGATAATAACTGGTTCAAGTGTTTGGTACAGTGACTTTATAAAGTATTTGGACACTTCAGTCACACACATAAATGTCTCAATGTCACTGCATCAGATATAAAATATATTTGTTTGTGGTTAATTAGTGGATGATGTTGGTAATTAATGGGATTCTCTCTATCTGTGTCAGACTCTGTTCCATGTTTTGTCTGTGTCTTGCTCCCCAGGTGTTCCTTTCCCATGTTTAATTTGTCCCAGCTGTTCCCCATGATGGTTCATTGCTCCCAGGTGTGTCTCGTCATCCCCTCCTCCTGTGTGTGTGTATAAAAAGTGTTCCCAGTCCCAAGTTCTCTGTCCGCTGTGAACGTCTTCCTGTGTTCGTCTCCCTTGGTTCCTTGGTGCAAATAAACTCCTGTCAACATATTCTCCAGCGTCTCCTCGTCCCTCGTGTGTGTGCAACGTGACAATCTGTGGTTCATCTGAACATCCACTAAAAATCACCAAAACACCTGCTGATTCAAACCAGTGTCATTTTAGTATCATTGAGATACTATTTTTATTTATTTTTTTCTTATGTTTTGAATAATTTTTTTTTTTTTTGTAGTTTCATTTTAAAATTAAAGTTTTAGGAATTTTGTTGTTTTTGTCATTTTTATAATTTTTTGTTTTTTAAAATGTGTCTATATAATGTTTAAAATTAATATATTTTTCAAGTTTTAGTTATTTTGTAAAGCAAGTTATTATAAAATGACATTTTGCTTTGGCAACTAGCTGAAAAATTTTATTTTTTTTAAATATATTTGTAAATTTGATTTCAGTTAACATTTAGTTCATTTAAAACATTTTTTATGGGTTTTGTTTTAGCCTACTATAATAATGCTGATTCCAACACATTGAGACTTCACATATAATGAAGAAACGTAACATTAGTGAAGAGAAACTGTATCCTGTAGATACAGACACTTATGAAAGACATTCAGACGTTTATAAATGTGACTGAGGTGATTGGACACTTTCAGAGGTTAATGTATGTTTCTGCATATGATCTAGTCTGATGTGTGCGTTAGTGTCTGTGATGCTGTGTTTGCTCAGATGTGTGTGTGTGTGAATCTCCTCAGCTCGGCGGACGCCAGTCAACACAGCGACAGTCAATGTAAATGGCACTAGACCAACAGGTAGAGACGTTTCTCTGTATCCCTGACGCTTGTAGATACTGCTTGTTTGACTCTGATAGTCTGAGGTTGTGTGTGCATGCAGCAGGCATGCGCTGGTGCTCTAGCGCGCTTCTGCTTCAGACGCCTTTGATTTTGCACATGCTGTGTCTGCATCAGTGTTGTTTTACAATCATTGAGATACTAATAATTTTTATTAATATTTTAAATTAGTTTTTTATTTTATATTTCATGTTTTCATTTTTATCCTAGTTAAAGTTTTAGTAATTTTGTTGTGTGTTTTTGACATTTTTATTATTATTATTTTATATATGTTGGTGTAGTTTTTATTCATTTTATTTCAGTTTTAGTTTTAGTTATTATCAGTTTTAAATTAATGAAAATGAGAAATGTTGCTTTGGCAACTAGCTGAAATAATATTTTTATTTTATTTTTTATTATGTTATTACTTAATATTTAATATTTAATAAGATTGTTTCATATCTTTAATTATTAGTAGTATAAATGTATATTAATAATGATTTTATTAATAATTTTTAGATGATTTTTAATTGTTTATTATTTTATTGATAATATTTTATTAGTAATTTTATTTAGTGATTTTATTTCAGTTAGTAACTTTAATAACCCTGGTCTGTCACTGTCGGATGGCTTTGTTTGTAGTTGTCTCTAACAGTCTGGTTAAAATAAGCCAAAGTCTCACTGAAACATCAATATGTGTGCATCATTGTTCTGTTTTATTGATTGATGCAAAGTTCAATATTACAGGCAAAAATGAGGAAAACTAGCACTGCATTACTTAACCAGCATCATGTTCAGACTCAGATCTTCTGTAGAAATCACTCAATGTTGTACCGCGGTGCAATCATCAGTAATTACAGCTTCTTTAGAGCTTTTAGAGCAACAAACCGTGAATCACAGTGAATCCATCACGATCACGCCCTAGACCAGTTACAATGATTTCTTTTGTAAACTTTGTGAGAAAAATTGACTTAGCAAACTTCCAGAAGTTAAAAGCACCGTATCCAAAAACATTCCATTTATATTCCCTGAGCTCTGCTTCGATTAGATTAGATTCAGCTTTATTGTCATTGTGCGGAGTATAAGTACAGAGACAGTGAAATACAGCAATGCAAGGGTTTATTGCACCAGAAATAAACCAGAGTCACCAGAGTCATTCAGTTTTTCCTTGATCGTTATCCAGCTTCTCTTTGATGATTATAAATAAACTTGTTCTCATAAACGACCTCTGTAATGACTGACTAACCTCTTCACATGTAACTGAATGGACATACTTTGCTGTGTTCACATGTGTGTGTGTGTGTGTGTGTGTGTGTGTGCACAGTGAATCCATCACGATCATCATGATCTAGACCAGTTACAATGATTTCTTTTGTAAACTTTGTGAGAAAAATTGACTTAGCAAACTTCCAGAAGTTAAAAGCACCATATCCAAAAACATTCCATTTATATTCCCTGAGCTCTGCTTCGATTAGATTAGATTCAGCTTTATTGTCATTGTGCGGAGTATAAGTACAGAGACAGTGAAATACAGCAATGCAAGGGTTTATTGCACCAGAAATAAACCAGAGTCACCAGAGTCATTCAGTTTTTCCTTGATCGTTATCCAGCTTCTCTTTGATGATTATAAATAAACTTGTTCTCATAAACGACCTCTGTAATGACTGACTAACCTCTTCACATGTAACTGAATGGACATACTTTGCTGTGTTCACATGTGTGTGTGTGTGTGTGTGTGTGTGTGTGTGTGTGTGTGTGTGTGTGTTTGTTGCCATTATGAACTAATGAGCTCATGCTTATGACATAACAACCATGAAGATTCATGATTTCCTATTAGTTTAGTTGATTAAATGTGTTTTTTAAGTGCATTGAAGTATTTTGTTTCGGAGAGAACAAAAAAACCTGGATTTATAAACGATATATATAATGCTGTAGTTAAAAATTAAATTAAAATTAAAATCTTAAAATTAAAGGCATTGATGGATCCATGAGGAACATTTAACAGCCATATAATCTTTCTATTGATCAAAAGGTTCTTTAGATTATTAAAAAGTTCTTTACATTAAGAAAAAATGTTTTTTTTAAGATCTGTTTAAAGAAAGATTTTGAACCAAAAATCACTGCAAAAACATCCTTTAGGAACCATTATTTTTAACAATGTGTGTAAATAATATTATATTTTAAGTAAACAAAAGCAATAGTAAAGATGCAGAATAAAATAATTCTGCAGTCTTAATTCAGTGATATAATGCAGGCAGTGTTTGTTGTAGTGAATGCAGATGCAGCACTGATGTCTGTGTGTGTGTGTGTGTGTGTGTGTGTGTGTGTAGAGATGGGTACGGCCTTGTACGGCACGGCCAAAGGCATTGCCATGAGTGACCTCATCACCACGGTAACGCCAGAGAAGAAGGTCGAGGAGATGCGCGAGGAGGAGCGTGAGGAGGAGTGTGAGGAGACTCGACCGGTGCTGGTGGAGAGTGTGTCGGTGCTGGAGGAAGAGGACGAGATAACGAAAGCCACGGAACCATCGCTACCGAGCCCACTGACACCGGCCCGACAGGACACACGGGTAAACAGACCCTAACTAACACTAACTAACCCACCGACACCGGCCCGACAGGACACACAGGTAAACAGACCCTAACTAACGCTAACTAACCCACCGACATCAGCCCGACAGGACATACGGGTAAACAAACACTAACTAACGCTAGGACACACAGGGG